AAAGTCGATTTCCAGTCACATAACTGCAAATACACGATTCAATTGTTACCATGTTTCTATATATATATTCGAGCTTGTATGTGAATTTTTTTTGTAAAATACTAAAGTTTTTGTTCAACCGGTGGACGTTGCGCATTAATGAATGAAACAGTGTAAAAATAAACGTTCACTTGGGTAATCTCAGAAAAGATGGTGCACATCGAACAAGCGATGGGCATTAATTGAAGGTTGGGAATCAATGGCCTGACACAAACACGCATATTTGGCTAGCCGAGGAAGAAGTTCCAAAAGAAAAGTTATCTTACCTTTGCATAACAAACAGAAAGATTTGAATAAATAACGGATAATAAATTTCGCAGAGCCTCATCTTCTCCAGGTGTTTCAATCAGCTCAGTACTTCTGAAAACACAACCCATAGTAATATAGTATTGTGTTTTTCAGCAATTTATAAAAGTAAATAACGGTGCGCATCAGGATAGCCGGTGCGGTCATGGGTTTGGCGCGGTTCCGTCCAGTGAACGCTTGACTTTAGGAATTTTCATTGTTTTAAACCTTGGTGTGTGCAAAAACAGTCGACATGTTTAATGAGTCGGGGTGGCAACAGCGATCCAAACACACGCGACTGATTCGCCGTTTTGTTCGTTTTTTCTACCAGCACGAAAGCTGTTCTTTTTTCAAAATATGCCCAGTTGGCTCGGCCGGGAGCGGGGCCGGAATCGCGTTGTGAAATCAGTATAACTCACTGTTTAATCGTTTAGGTAATTTTAAGAACAGCAAAGCGAAGCCGAACTGAATTTCCTGGAACTGTTTCAACTGAATTTCCTGGAGCTTGCTACTTTAAATATTAAAAAATATTTTACTTCAAAAGAAATGAAATATTAAAGTTTAAAATGGCAAGTTATCAATTTTAACCCAAAAAAATCACAATCAACAGAAAATTCTGCTTATGAGAAAACAATCCTTCTACGGTTTATCCAGCTCGTCTCGGCCACAAATTTGTATATGCACATGTCAGAAAGTCAGAAGCACCAACAACTTTTTTCTAAACAACTCTCAAGAGAAGAAAACCACTGATTTCATTGTCGGAAAGGAGGAACCATGCTGCTGGTTTTTGCTGCGGATTCGCGGGACACAGTACGGAGGAAGCCGGAGGGGGGAGGAAGAGGGATGGGTGGCTGTTATTGGCATGTGGTACATATTCGGGCTGGGTCCTAGCGCCTTGGTCTCTTACATGTGGTTTTACTTAATATTTGTGAAAGCAAGTAAAAACATGAAGAAAAACTTCTAGTCTCTTCCAGCCAGTAGATGATAAGCCGATGGTGCTTAACAAACCAATAAAATATTAAAGGCTGAGTTCGTAATCCTCTCAAGAGACGAAAGTCAAGATCACCATCAGCCTGACAACCAAGGCGATGCAACAGTGGTCAAAATAATTGGAAAAAGTTGCCAGCTGCGCAGCTTGAAGAACTAAGCAGTGAAATTATAGCAATTTCAAATACTCTACCATTTACTAAGATTTCAAATTAATCACCTTTTATAGACAAAAATAGCTTTCTCCAACTCTTTTCGGCCATAATAATAATTTCCCCGTTCTTTCAGTTCGGTTATGTGTCTGATCAGTTCATCGTTCTCCAACGCCGTGTACATTGGTCCATCGGCAATAGTGATCAACTCAATTTCGTACTGCATTGCCTGATAGGGCTGGATGCCACGTTCCGGATCGCCCGTACTGCCATATGCAAATCGATGCTCGGTTTTTACAGCATCAATTTGGCCCTCTTCCATCAACTGCAGCACTAACTCCCATGCTAAATACATACATAAAACTTCAAAATGGGAACTTTTGCAAAAGAAATTATTGAGCTTGATAAGTAAGAAATTCTTCTACACGCTAGGATGTTATCTGCTAAAAAAACAGCTGTGTGGGTGGAAAACCAATTAAGAATTAATAACTGCTAAACGACTTTCAGGTATTTAATGAGCAAAGAGTAATGGTAACAGAAAGTTATAATAGGAAAGAATGGAAAAAGGAGCTTTCCTGGTTCCCAAGTTAGCGATTTTCTTGCCAAAACTTTGAGGCACTCGCACGCGGGGCCTAAACGCGCTTGAGGACTGGTACCGCGGTCCTGGGTGGCACTTGGCCGGTGAGAACCCACTAACAAAATTTTGGCACCGGAGCTTGCTTGGGCACCTAGTTGAATTACCCGGAGACACACACACACACACACACAAACCGGAGTCGTCGCAATATGCGTTTTCGCACTTGCATATACGCAAAAACGCATAAAAAGGAAAAGGAAGCTAAAAAATAAAAAATTTTACGAAAGTTTGAAAAATTTATGAAATTTGTAAAAAAAAAGAAGAAATTTGTGAGATTTTATATATATTTGTGAGAATCAGTTCCCACTAAAAGCAAAAATGTCTGGAGCTTACCATCAATGACCATACTGAAGCCAAGAATAAATGATTTCTCCGTAACATTGTCTATCCCCAGTAATGTGTCCGAAACTCTGATGGTCACTCGTTGACCGTTGCGAGCTCGTCGTCCATTGCCTGCTTTAATGACCTAAAAATTGCACATTTCATGCGATTATTATTATTATTTTAAAAAAATAACAGATGTCTTTTTATTGAAAATACTACATTTTTAATCGTATTTTGTGCGGTAAAATTGAACGCCAAGGGTAATTTGCTCATTAAGTGCCTAATTTTGCCTCGGTTCATTATGTAGAATCTTGAAAAAGAAAAAAAAAACCAGATTAGTACTTTACAAAATAGCTGCCCACTGCCCAAAATGTCGTTCCAGTCTTCTTTTGATGTTGAGCAACGGTCAGCAGCAGCATCGGCATTCAGCAGCGATTGCTCGGTACGGCATTCTTTTTCCAACGCATCACTTGATGGACCCTTCGCTTTTGTTGCCAAAGTCTGCAAACACAACTGGCTTAAAGTATATGAAGCAAAATACGTGAAAAGTACAAGAAATTAGATTACAAAGAAGAAAGGTTGTATAATGATTAAAAAGATAAAGTTATACAACGATTATCTGCTTTATTTTACAAAAAAATCAATTTACTATTCATGTTATCGCATTCAAATTCCACTATTTTTCAGAAATTCAAACGCCTTTTTTTATAAAATTCTTGAATCTTATCAATTCCACATCGTTTTTATAAAACTATTTTTTGAAGAATTCAAACACCCTTTTTTTCTAAAATTCTTCAGTCTTACCCCTTCTGCGTTATTTTTATAAAACTAACTTTTTTTATATCTTCAGAAAATCAGCTTCCGCCGTGAATTATTCAGACCCGTACGAAAATCTACTTGAAAATTACGCAAAAAACAGGGTTCTTACACGAATTCGTGCAACACCGGCCAAATCGGAATCACTAAGTGCGCCGCGTTCTTCGTCCACTGATCCGTCCAACGATGGCTCACCACTACTCACCGCTCGTCGATGGCTAAAACTCTGAAAAACAAATAAGTTTTGCTTAACATACATGAAAATTTACGTTTGCCGATTAACCTGCAAAATTTGCCAGTAATATCCAGTCTCTGATCGCTTCATGCCCGATACCAACCATAGGCGGATCCAGGATGAACTCCTGGAGAGGAGGGGGCGATGGGGGATGGAGGGGAGAGTGGGGCTCCTGGGTAGGAGTGGACAGGGGTAGGAGCAGAGTCCTCTCCCGCTCTGGAACTATGCAAAAACTAGGAATAGAGTTGTAACACACTGCTACTTACAGTTATTTTGGTTTTATTTATGAAGAGACTCGGACTTTTGCAGCACTGGTGCATGTGGCAAGAGGTGGAGGGG